GTGGTCTAACTAGTTCACTTCGAGTTCTGATTTCATTCAGTGTCAGGGCTTTCAGAGCTCTATTTTGTTACCATCATCAGATATCCATTTACTTGTGAAGGCCATGGAAATTAGTAACAAGCCATCAATTTCAGGCATATGCATTGAAGAGACAAAATTTATAATCCTTTGATTGATGACTAAATTATAGAAAATCTATGAAAAGTGTGGGTGTCGACGCGAATTTTCTCTTTGTTCAAATAATCGCCTACAGTTGTAATGTTTCTCAATAATAGGAAACTGATAGCTATCAAACAACGACAACAACATGATATTAAATGATATTGACGTATGTAGCTGTTTTTCAAAAAAACATGTATTCATAAATTTCATAACTGACCCTATAGGATTCATTTATTGCACGGCTCGATAGCTAAACAATACAGTTGAAAGTTACTAAAAACATGACATCACTTCATTAAAGTTATGCGATGGACTTTTATTACCAACTTCAAAAAATAAAAGTTGTTACCATGCAACATTTACAATATTAACAGTGCGACCTTAGGAGACATATGTCGCACCAATTATAGAAATAGAGAAAACTTTTTTTTAAAACAAATTACATCCGGTAAAAGAATTGACTAATCTTAAATTTCATCAAACTATTACGAATAATTGCTTATAATAATGTCTATATCGAACAAGATTAAATGAACTAGCTTTCAACAATAAATGTCATTTAATAGTGATGTTAAAAAGCTGATTAATTATGTCTTCAAAAAAAAAGTGTAATATTTTTTTGTTATCTCTGGAACTTTTATCCTTCACTATTTTACTGAAAATTTATATAACTTTTTTTTTTCAAATATATCAATGTAGAGTATTCTGTGGAAGTAATCGAGTCATACTACGATCAGAAGAAATGAATCCTGTGGTAGCTGTAGTGACATTTATCAGTGCAACTTGTTTTGAACTTATGCAGTTGGTACAGTGAATCATAAAAGCATAACATATTTCTTGACAGATTTTTCAATCGTGTGATGATCATAAGATTTGAAATGTGAGACTATAAAGAAAGCGAAACACATGTAAAACACTAGAAAAAATTCTCATTATCACTGATCCTATCATTCAATGACTAAATTTTCTGATGTTTCTAAGAAAGCATAAGTATTCACTAATATTGTATTGAAAATTCATTTGGAATAACTGATGTTTTCTGAAAACATCTGTCTTCATTGAAAAACAAATGAAATCAATACTAATTTATTGCAATCAATCAAAGAATCATAATTGTTGTAAAAAA